GGTTTATTATTTAGAGGAACGGAATATTATTATTTAACTATTTAAGAATAGTAAAGATATAAGGGAGAGGAATTAATGTCTCCCCATAGCATTCATTGATGACGTTACCTCTATCGCGAGGTAGACGTTTTGATTCTAAAGCTCTATTCGGCTTTTAGTTAGAGAACCATTCGTCTGCAATCAGTTGCCATACAGAATGCTTTAATTATGGAGAATCGTATTTAATTCTCACACAAATTGTATATAATGTGTTTTACTGTAAAGAAATCTGACGCAATACTGGCGTCAGGTGACGTGAGAATTCTAGCCTAATGCACAGATGAATTATTAGTACATGAGAATTCTACGAGTTGTTACTTTTACTTACTACAATATTAATATGGTTAGTAATAAGTAATGAGAATACAACAATGCTGTATTCGATGTTGGAAATATCCAACAACGACATGCCCCCGGTGGTTGTTGTCCCTCCGCCGGATGTTCCGGTGGCTCCTGTCGCTGGTCACTTTGCTGTGCCAGTTGCTCTCGAGGGTCTTCCATATGGTCTCTGCGAGTCGTCTTCGTCTTCCTCGACTCCTGCTGCTGCGCCTGGTCCTGCACCCTCGCCAGATGTTACGGCTGTGCTGGGTGTTGGGGGGGCTGCGGAGCGTCCTGTTGTGTGTGGCCCGGTTCCCCATGTGGTTGAGGCTGCTGCCGTACTGCGACGGGCTTCGGTTCGCCCGGTTTGTGAGGCCCGTGGTTCTGGGTCCGCCTCCGGCTGTGAGGATGTGCGGCCAGTGCCCAAGCGTTCCAGGCGTTCTTCTACTGTTTGGGCTGATGTGGAGGACTACGACGCAGGTGGAGCTTTGGGCGATGATGTGGCGGTTCCGGGTGCTTCGCGCTCTACGTCGCTGGTGGTGGCTGACGTCCATGTGTCTGCTGTTGACGATGGTTGTGCGTCTGATTTACCTCCTGTTCTTTCTCCGGCAGAATGTTCTCCGCAGTGAGGGTGGTTGCTCCTACAGACGTGGGTGGTGTGGGTTCTGGTGCTAGCCGAGGCATCAAGCTGGTGCTGAAGAAGGATGCCAAGCGTGGGGAGTCCAAGCAGGTACAACGTTCGGTGGTTGACGCGGGGCCCTGCGAGGCAGCCGAGGAGGCTCCCAGTGCGCTGCTTATTGCCCGGCCTCATGGGAAGGAGCCTCTCCCTCTCGTCTTGGCTTCCGGAGTGGCGCATGATGATAAGCATCCTTTGCAGTTTGAAATTGTTGACCGCGTGCGTCCTGTTCCGTGGTGCCCTTCTTCCATCTGGATTCGACGGGCTCGGTGTTTTATTGTGGGTGTGCCGGAGTTAATGCCTGATCCTCGTACAGTTCATAATGAACCTGTTCCGGAGGACGTCATGTTACTTTGGGAGGCGTATTGTATTCGATTCCTGGCGGCGGAGTGGCCGGATAAGTATGAGAAATTTGAGTAGTCTGTGTGCTTGCTGTGTGTTTGGTGTGTGCTTGGACCTGTGGTTTGTTTGCTATGTGTTGTACCTATTGTGCGCCCTTCAGGCCGGTGTTATGTTTGTTCTCATGACCATTGTTTTGTTGTATTTCTTATATTTCCGGTATTGTTGTTTCTTTTTCTTGTTTCATTATTTTTCAGTTCATTGTTGTTTTTGTTGTCGGCCCTTCAGGCCGGTGTTTAGTGTCTTTGAATAAATTTGTATTGATTTGTTTTGTGCTGAAGTGTCTTGTTCTGTTTCTTGATGTACTTTGTTGTTTTATTCTCGGTCCTTCAGGCCAGTGCATGTATGTTGTTGTGTTTGTGCCTGTTTTGTTTTCAGGTGTGCGTGTTTTGCTTGTTTATTATTGTTTATTATTATTGTTTATTTTGGCCTCGCCCTTTGTTTACGGGGCGGATGGCTTGGTGTGGGTTTTTTATTCCTGTATTGTTTGTGCTGTGCGATTGACCTGGTGTTTTTATATTGCTTTACCTGTTGTACGTGTTTGTTCTTTGTTTTGTTTGAAATGTATTGTGATTGTCCTGTTCTGTTTCCTGTTATGCCTCTTGATGTATGTTTTGTTTTTCTGGAGGTTTTGTTTTGTGATGTTACTGTGATTGCTAGTTTGCCATTGTATTGTTTTGTGCTTTGATGTATGCTGTATTTTTCTATGTTTTCTCGTGTTTGTGTTTTGTTGTGCTATGCTGTCGGCCCTTCTGGCCGGTGGTCTATTGTTTTATTTTGTTATGTATTCTGTATTGTTTTTATTGAATTTAAATTGCATGCTTTGCATGTAAAAATAAAAATAAAAAAAAAGATTGCATTGATAAATTGAAATTTCATCGGTTTTGATTTATTTTCATTTTGATTTCATTATTTTGTGTGACATTGTCTTAGAATTGAGCTGTGTTGTTGACCATGCCATTCATTTCATGAGTATAGTTTATTTTTTAATTATTTCATTGTTTTTCATTTGTTTGTTTACTGTTCTTATTTTTCAGTGATGGGAACAAAAGATTATTTGTTGTTCCAAATTTTCTGAAGGGAATACTATATCATATGGGAATGCATCGGACAAGGGAGTGGGGAATGGTGGGGAGGACGAGAAGACGGGAGTGGGGGATGGTGAGGGAGGAAGAGGGGACAGGGGAGGGGCAATGGTAGGAAGGACGAGGGGACGGGGGAGGAGTGGGAGAATGGTGGGCAGGACGAGGGGATAATAGAGTGGGGAATGGTGGGGAGGACAAGGGGACGGTGGAGTGAGGGGATGGTGGGAAAAACAAGGGGACGGGGGAGGGGGGAAATGGTGGAGAGGACGAGAGGGTGGGGTAGAGGGGAATGGTTGAGAGGACGAGAGGACAGAGGAGTGGGGAATAGTTGTGTAGTTGTGTGGACTAGGGAATGAGGCAGGGCGGAATGGTGAGGAGGACTGGGGGAGAGAGAGAGATTGCTGTTTGAGAGATGGCTCAGCAACGCACATGCGTTGCTGCGCCACAGCAACGCGTGGCCGGGTACAGTTAGTAATTAAATAAAAATGAAAATAAATCGCAATCTATGAAAATTCAATTTATCAATGAAATCGGAAACAGTGAAATGGAATCATAACATTCAGTATAGCATGTGTTGCTCATGTGAGCAACAGATGGTGCTGTTTTAAAAAATGTTTGTTTTTACCCGTCACAGGTGTTTTATTTATATAGTAGGTATATAAAAGCATGCGAGTATTAGAATGAAACGTTGTGTCAAAATTTAAAAGCAATCGGTAAAGAACTTTTGGAGATTACATCGTGTGTTGGTCTTACGTCCAACAAAATGCGTTGTTAAAAAAAAGTGTTTTCCTGTCACAGGTGAGGCATGTATATAGTATGTATATAAAAACACACGCTTATTCAAATGCAATATTGTGTTAACATTTCAAAGTAATCGGTAAAGAGGTTTCGAAGATTTCACTTTCGCGAAAAACACATAACACAGTTTAAAAAAAAAAACATGTTTGCCCCATCACAAACGTGGCATCTATATAGTATGTATATAAAAATCCGCTGGGATGCGAATGGACACGTAGTGTGAACATTTCAAAGCAATCGGTGAAGAACTTTAGGAGATTAGCGATTTTGAACAAACGAACATTTCCATTTTTATTTAAATACATTAGGTACATCTGCATTAGTGCAACTACCCAGGAATATATGAAGTGGAGTACAGTGTGTCAAAAAAAACTAACTACGTGATGCTATAAAATCCCCATCACACAGGATGGTTAGTCATACAGAGGCATGTGAGAGGCAGTCTGCACAGGCAGACTCCTGAAGCATTTTGAGGATATCAACACAAGATTGAATCAGGTAGCAGTGGTAATACAAGTCCCCATCTCGCAGAATGGTTAGTCATACGGGGCCATATGTTTAGTAGCCTGCACTGGCAAATTTTGGGTACACTGTGAGGATATCTTCAAAAATACGAGAGTGAATAAAGTAATTGCAAAGCTCCAGGTGTCTCATGCCAACTGATCTGAAAGGTCTAATAACTGGGCATTCAGTGGTGTAGTGTAGGAGATCGCGCCGTAGTTCCTGCTCACAGAGTTTGCAACTGGGGTGCTCAGGATTGGGAGATCCGTCACCGGCAGCCACCTGCCACAGCTAAGGGAAACCCAACCTGATCTTTGCAACCACTGTGTCGCACAGTCTATTGGACGTTTTATGGTGCCCATAGATATAGGTTTCAGATCTGAACAAATCATAGCTTTTTATACTAGTACTTTCAGGTCGTTGGGAGTCAGTAATTTCTTTCCTATCAGATCTGAGTGTTTGGACCAATCCAGTTTTAACAGCAGAGATGGGGATACCTAGATCTAATTCAACTTCATCCTTGTTACACGCTAATTTTTCTACAATGTCTGTCTCATTATGATGGGTTATATTTATGTGTGAAGATATCCATACAAAGGAGATTCGAGACCCTTTACTTTCTGCAGCAATTAGGTCATTTATAATTGGGAGTATGAGGTTCTTGCTGTTGACCTTCCAAGAGAAGTTTTCGATTGCTTGAAGAGCAGACTTTGAATCACAAAATATTATTCCTCCTCCAATGTTTTTTAATATACTCGTAGCTAGGTGTAATGCTGCTAGTTCTGCTTGTGTGGAGGTCAGCCAGTTGTTTAACCTGACACTGAAAGTCTTTGTGCCTTACTACGTTATTTTTTATCTAACAGCTCCACGTTAATCACACGCCAGATTTCATGATAGATTCCATAAAAGACTATAAAAAATAGATATGATTATTATTATTATTATTATTATTATAATGGCTAATATTTCCTAAAGCATTCAATGTAGGCTTACACCGACCAGTCTATGTTCGTCCTGTACCCCACACAATTCCACGTGCCAATTTTGGTGAGGCTAGCCCAAAGCATTTGGCCTTCAAGTATGGACAGACAGACAAATAAACAGACTGATATACTGTCTTATATGCTTAATTTCCACACATTGCAGGATGATTGTGCACGTTTCCTTTCATATCATGTATATGTTCACTTAGCAATAAGCAAGTACCCGGGAGTTAAACCATTGTTGAGGTTTGCAACCAGTGGAATGTCAGTAGTTGACGTTGGGCTTTCCAAAGTAGAAGGGAAGTAAGTAAGCAAGTAAGCCTCAGTGAAGTCTTTTCGGTCCCTATAACTGGAGAGTAAACATTATAATTTTGTCTTACCTTAATCCATATTTTCTAGTGTTGTTGAAAAAGAAAACGAAAACATGTTTTAGAGGGGTTAACTTCATTATAAACTATTTCTTGAAAAATAAACATCAAAAAGAGGGAAAATCGTCTACTCTTTTCTCTCCTGTATTGTAGCTTGTTGAACGATTAATATCATCTAATCTGTTCAGTATTTTAAGGTATCGATAATATCAGACCTGTCATGTGTAGTTAATAGTGCTGGTAATACTTAGTAGGCTTAGTTCTGGGGTGGATTTTTGTTGTTCTACTATTAAGTTTCTCCAAAGTAGATATGGCTTTTATTTGTTATGACGATATCTCTATGGTAGCATACCGTAGTGTTGACTGAGGCGCTCCAGAGATCAGTCGAGTTAAATTACCACTTTCTCTTTCTTAAAATCAAAGGCGAGTTATTCCATGGTTTGGTTAGCAATTTGTTTACCCTAACCCCTTGTAACGGTTCTATTGTTACGTAAAGTATGGTGACAAATAACACAGACACTAAGATACTATATATATATTTGGTCGAATATACAGAAGTACACCGGTGATACTTTGGTGCGAGTTGAGCGCACTGAGCGTCGGTACAGTATCTCGCAAGTGTCTGCTCTAGACCACACTTGAAAGTAGACTCTGGTTTAATGTTTGCTATCCTGCTGCTTATATGCCCGGGCAACTCCTCACCGTATTGCCCGGGCAACGCCTCACCTCATTCATCTCCAAAGGTTGACAGGAATATTAACAATGCATTTGGAGCGAGTATATTATTGGGATAATCTACTCGCTACAGAACTCCCCCTCCCAGGGGATGAAAGGAAAAATACTTGATCAAGGAATTTAGCTGGTCGGTGAATTGTACGCCCTGCTCGCGTTACATAACCATCAAAGTTAACTTCCTCCTCTTCGCTGATGTCATCTAACTGGGTTTGTAGGGTGGGCGGTCGCACGTACAGGATCGTCCGTCGTCGTAGGATCAGGTTGTGGTGCGGCTGGTAACTGGGGTCGAAAAGTGAACTGCGTAGTCGGCGGATGTGTCTCTGGACTTAGCAGTGTCGCAGACGTTGAGACGAAGCCTGGAGCAGAGCAGAGAGCTGAGTGAGGCCGGAGTCGTGGAGCTCTATGTGGGAGAGCGTGGCGGCTCGATTGAGGTTTGTGAGTGTCTAAACTCGGGGAGCGAGAGCGTGGCGGCTCGAAGCGGTTGTAGTCTGCTGTCTGCTCTGTGTCGAAGCTGTAGCGTCTTGGGTTGATTAGGACTGTACACGCCGAGTACTACATTGTTGACTGTGGAAATTGTAGTCTGGTACCAAAAGATGTAGGCAGTGTGTGGACAAGCTCGGTGTAGCAGGAGAAAAGAATGTGCATAATTGTTGCGTCCTTGGGTCGCTGGTGGAGCATTTAGATCCGGGGCAGATGGGCTCGGGCACCAGGACATTAGGAGGTAATGTAGGCACGTAGTTTAGGACAACGAGGTAATCACTGCTAGAACTGAATTGTCCTGGAGGCGACGAAGAGTCGGAAACGCAAGCTGTAAGTCCTGTACTGCGCAAAGTGCTTGAGTCGGCAGAGTATCAGAATGCAGTGAACGTGTAGATGAATCTGACGAAAGAGCAGCTTTCGTGGGCGCCCCTGTAGAACAAGCAGTGCCCTGGCAGCGACGGAGAGTCGGCAGGACAGGCTGTAGATCACACATTATGTAGTTACTGATGAAGCTGCCAGATGAGTGAGTAGTGATCGTGGAGCAGCAAGCCGTAGTAGATGAAAATGCAGAGACGATCGCGATGAAAATCATAGCTATGGCAAGGGTGTTGGCAACGTTCCATGACAGGTGGCTGCGGTCCACAGCAAGCAGCAGCAGTGGAGGTCCAGTGAGAGTCCATGTTGTAGTCCATCGTGGCTGGGTATCGTCGAAACTCTCTGGGGTCACCAATGTAACGGTTCTATTGTTACGTAAAGTATGGTGACAAATAAACACAGACACTAAGATACTATATATATATTTGGTCGAATATACAGAAGTACACCGGTGATACTTTGGTGCGAGTTGAGCGCACTGAGCGTCGGTACAGTATCTCGCAAGTGTCTGCTCTAGACCACACTTGAAAGTAGACTCTGCTTTAATGTTTGCTATCCTGCTGCTTATATGCCCGGGCAACTCCTCACCGTATTGCCCGGGCAACGCCTCACCTCATTCATCTCCAAAGGTTGACAGGAATATTAACAATGCATTTGGAGCGAGCCCTGCTCGTTGAGGAACCATTCATTGACTGACGGATCATAACTTCTACGATTCTTTCTTCAACAATAAGCTTCATGATCATGATGTTGATGTGATAGTTATGTAATGTTATGCCCAACATGCAAAGTCTTGCATTTCAATATTGAAAAACATTTACAAATCTTCTGACAATTTGCAAGGCTTCAATATCATTCCCGCTTCCGACTTTACCATAGAACTCTGTGTCTTCTGCACATCTGATGATATGGTGTGCATTGTTTTCATTAGTGGCAGTGTTAATTATAGAATTATTATCATAATTGACATTTGGATATTCATGAGAGAGTGCTGCTGAAGCATGGATGGCTCTACAATACCATCACATAACAAGGGCGGTAATAACCTATCTGAAAGCCTTGCAACAGAAGAGGATGATAACAGCATTTTCAATTATTTATAACACAAGAGGTAACCGTTTTACAGACTTAAAAATAAGGAGGGGTCAAATAGTGATAGCTACATCATATATCTCTGTTGTAATATATTGTCTCCATAAACTTTAAAGCCGTGGTGTGGTTCCCCTGTTAACTCATATTTACCTCAACACGACAGAAATATTGTTGTTAGGGTGTAATAAAAAATAATGTTCACAATATGGTGTTTTCATTTATTTGTAACCATATTTACATGTTAATCTTTTTTTGTTGTCCTGCTGGATTTGGCTTTGTGTTGGGTTCAAGGCCTATTAGTCTCCGGAGAGTTATTAAGGCAAATACAAGTGTTTACTCTGACCAACTAGCATAAGGTAACCACAAGTCCTTATACCGACTAACATGCATGACTACTTTGGTCCAGAGCATAGTCCGGTAAACTCTCAGTGTGAGAGTTTACAAATAGAAGCATGGTATACCTCAATGGCGTTCCTCTCGGTACTTACATCTTTTGTTCTGCTATATGTCCTATTTCCTTCCACCTTAAATTAAGCAGACCTGAATACTGGATTGTAGTTTCGCAAGGAAGACTGAAATATATATCTTTTAAAGGTAAAGGTACGAGAACGTTGAGAAGATCAACTATAACACTTATTTGTGAGCTGGAAACTGTGGCAGTATCTTCAAATATTTCAAAGTTCTATAAAAGTATAAAAACACGATCAAAATGTTATGGAGAAAGGATATGGACTTAATGTAATGGATAATTATTGCTGCAATAGACAGTGAAATCACCAAGTGCGGATACTACTCGTCTGTCAAAAGCTGGAGGTCATTGTTAACAGTGTTTGTATAGTAAGAGCCATAAGGACGTTAGGGTCGACCACCATGAACCTCCTGAAGAGGGATCAACTCCTGTTCAGAATCCCAACGACGAGTATGAAACTGAAAAGGGGGGTTGAATGTCCAGAGTGTTATTATTATATTATCCAGCTGTTATCGATGAGGAATCTACGTCGAAAACGTTGAGTCAACGTTACTCGAGCACGTTTCGCCCAGAGAGAACGGGAGGAAGAGGCATAAAGAGGGAGGGAGGGAAGAAAGGATAGACTACCGGACAGAGAGAGAACGAGAGGGGAACAGAAGGGAGACAGGTTGAGAACGGGAGGTATAGACCTCGGGAGGGAGAGAAGGTATAGAGGTAAAGAGAACGTGAGGGAGAGAGAGAGAGAGAGAGAGAGAGAGAGAGAGAGAGAGAGAGAGAGAGAGAGAGAGAGAGAGAGAGAGAGAGAGAGAGAGAGAGAGAGAGAGAGAGAGAGAGAGAGAGAGAGAGAGAGAGAGAGAGAGAGAGAGAGAGAGAGAGAGAGAGAGAGAGAGAGAGAGAGAGAGAGAGAGAGAGACAGACAGACAGACAGACAGACAGACAGACAGACAGACAGACAGACAGACAGACAGACAGACAGACAGACAGACAGACAGACAGACAGACAGACAGACAGAGGCAGACAGAGAGATAAAGACAGTCAAACAGACATACAGAGGCAGACAGAAACAGGAAGACATACGGAAAAACACACAGACACAGACAGAGCAGGGGTGCCAAGGATGATCCTGGCACCCGAGGTATTCCACCTAGTAGTCTCTATAACACAAAACAGCTACCACTAAGACTGAGGCTCCATCCCAGAGTCCTACATATGGGCCAGAAACTCTAAACTATAGTTTCTGCCACAGCGACTGAGGCTCCGTGCTAGAGTTACCGCCCCTGGTACCGAGGCTCTACACTAGAGTTACAAATCATCGGAGTTTCCGGACCGAGTTTCATCAATATCTGCGTAGTTAACAAAGTTGGCCGGATGGGTTGTTTCACAATCTCGCACGGTCTCCGGCAGCTGGCTCGGGCACGGCTCTGACAGCAAGCGGGACATCTGCAACAGCCAAACAAGAGTATTGATGACCAGCGTCACATCATTCACCCCACGAAACAATATGTTATCCCTCATTAACCAACTGCCCCTCATGCATACATCATTGATGAGTTATAGCACATTACCACATAGAAGAAGGTGGATTGGCGATGCTTTCTTGCAACGTACCTCAATGTGCCTCTGCAACAGTTGCACCAGTTCGAAGTCATGATCATCTGCCCCGAACGGATTAAGGAGCGCTTCGGCTACTTTAATCCAGCCAATATAGAACAGGAGCTGGAGAAAGGCAAAGACCGGGATATAGACGTCAATGGTGTGACCGATATATCCCAGCTCGGGGCTCAGGATCTGCTCGCCCAGCACCGCGAAGAAGAAGTAGGAATACACCGCTATGATCACCACCTGCAACAGTGAAGTACTATGCAACAAGGAGGTATATATATGCTTGTTGTAAAGGTGTATATGTACATGCTCTCTCTCTTATAGTTATATGTTTTTCAAGAAGTCGAAAAGAAACAGATTCTTCTTTCCATAGAACTTTGTATGTTGGGGACCACAACGTCAAAAATGAGACGTATTAATTAGAAGGTGGGTTGGGCAGATGGGATTAGACAACGAGGGTCTCTTGCTGCCTAAAGACTGAATTTCCTCGGTTTCACTGGCGCTGATTTATGAGAAGAGATTTCAATTCCTGAAATCTACCTTAACTTTGCTGAGTAATTCTCAATTTATATATTCCCACACACCTGATGGAGAAACGTATTGGTCCTATAAGGCAATCCTTGGCCTCCATGGTGTTTAACATAGAGTTAACATCAGTGTTTATCACTCCCCTTGGGCCGGGAAACCACAACAATGAGAGAAAACGCCGCACAGTAGATCAGGTACCTTTTCGAAGTATTTGTCATTTTTTTTTTTGCAAGGCGAAAGGGGTGAGCTAATTACACAATTTATGTTTAAATGGAGAATGTTGAGAAAAGTCTTACGCCCTAATGTTAGTAGAATTGTCTTTTAGCGAACCAATCCACCATTACTCCCTAAAGGGAATATTTTATACATTATGCCATGCCTTCGGATTTCGTAAGGAATTATTTCTATGTACAAATTTGAAACCAGTTCTTCTAATATTTTCCAGCCGTAAATTATTATGTATCTCTCTCACCTGCGTTCCAAGCAGTAAAGTTACTGCTTGGAATTTAAAATATGAGAAATTTTTAAGTCACAATTATTTTAGATGTATTGAATGGATTTGCTCAATGAATATTCTCTGCATGATATCCAGGTCAACAGCTCTACCAGCTTTGACTGGGGCTGCTAGCATGCAACACAACTCCTACACCCTTGACTGGGATTGTTAGCCGGCAACGCAACTCCTACACCCTTGACTGGGGCTGCTAAAATGCCACACAACTCCTACACCTTTGACTGGGGCTGCTAGCATGCAACACATCTCCTACACCTTGACTGGGGCTGTTAGCTGGCAACGCAACTCCTACACCCTTGACTGGGGCTCTAGCATGCAACACAACTCCTACACCCTTTGACTAGCCGGCAACGCAACTCCTACACCCTTGACTGGGATAGCCGGCAACGCAACTCCTACACCTTTGACTGGGGCTGCTAGCATGCAACACAACTCCTACACCCTTGACTGGGAGTGTTAGCATGCAACACAACTCCTACACCTTTGACTGGGGCTGCTAAAATGCCACACAACTCCTACACCTTTGACTGGGGCTGCTAGCATGCAACACATCTCCTACACCTTTGACTGGGGATTCTAGCATGCAACACAACTCCTACACCTTTGACTGGGGCTGCTAAAATGCCACACAACTCCTACACCTTTGACTGGGGCTGTTAGCATGCAACATAACTGCTACACCTTTGACTGGGGCTGCTAGCATGCAACACAGATCCACCCAAGACTGTAACATGTGTATTACGCTGAGCTGTTTGGCATAATATCTTCTCTGGGATACTGATAACAGGGTCGGAGTGATTTACCCTACTTTAACGTTCCAATAATAGCAGCATTGCGTGAAGTATATAACCCACACCACAAAGAATTCTAAATTACAATTTCAATCAATATATAATCAGTGCGGGAAGCTATTTACTCTGAACACATACCAATAATAAATAACAATAAATATTTATATTTATGTATTATTAGTTACTATTATTTACTTTTAAGAACTAATAGTAACTAACAGAAAAAAGGTAAATAATACAAAAATAAAATAACGGATTTTGTTCATAATTATTATGAACAAACACTCTGATCCTCCAAGTCACTTACACGTGAACAAACACTAGAAGCACAGTTGTACTGTTAATAGTATTACTGATGAACAATTCCTTGTATTATTGGCGTACTGTTGCTAGTATCTCTGGTGAACTATCAACAAGAATATCTTATTAACCACAACTGAAAGGATTCATAGAAATTCCATTAGCCATAATACGTTAATGGTGTTACTAGTGTATATTCTCACTAGTATATCTACGCCAGCGTCTAAACAAAGAACATCTACAACGACTGTTTCTCACTGATGCGGACAGTTAGTAATGTAAAGCATATTTGGGTTAATTGCCTTTGAATTATGGTAGATATTTTGAAATGTGACACCATTATATCAGTAAAGCAGCTCAGGGAGCCGGCGGCTGAGCGGACAGAACACTGGACGCGTGATCCTGTGGTCCCGGGTTCGATCCCGGGCGCCGGCGAGAATCAATGGGCAGAGTTTCTTTCACCCTGATGCCCCTGTTACCTAATAGTAAATAGGTACCTGGCAGTTAGTCAGCTGTCACGGGCTGCTTCTTGGGGATGGAGGCCTGGTCGAGGACCGGGCCGCGGGGACACTAAGCCCCGAAATCATCTCAAGATAACCTCAAGATAAAGCAGTCTCGGAGATATGAGCCAAGGTTAGCCTCAAGATAGTATAATGTGGATATCTATCTTCTTGGGCAGACACTATTAATCTCGTCCATTTATAAATGTCTGATTCGTGAGGAGAGGCTTTGTCTACACTCTGATTGAACGATAAAGCTTATCTTTGTTATCTGGGCTTAACAAAGATTGCTATGTATCACATTGCCTTTTAGGGC